CAAAATATTTCTCTTATATTTGTCAATATCCTGAGTCTTTAAATTCTCACATTCACAAGTATAATAATTGAAATGTTCACATAATTCTAAGAATAAAATACCTGCCTTTATTTGCCTATATAAAGTAGCTTTTGGAAGTAAAATATCAAATATTTTAAATAAAGTCCATTTACCTGACCATATGTCTTTAATAACATCTTAAGCATTCTTTCAAAAAAGAAAAATATGTAAAATCCACCAAACACAGCAACTGCCTTCTCAATATAGTTGTCGACTTTGGGATCAAATCCAAATGCCTGAGAAAGAAAAAAAAAAAAGCAAAAGCAATTCAGGTAAAACCAAGTAATTTAAGTTGATTTCAGGAATACAATAATTTCTTAATATATAATTTTTACCTAAGTTCTAAGTCCAAAAAAAAAAAAAGCAAAAGCAATTCAGGTAAAACCAAGTAATTTAAGTTGATTTCAGGAATACGATAATTTCTTAATATATAATTTTCACCAAAGTTCTAAGTCCATATTCACATCCAGGTAATATGTGGAATTTATCTGTCAAAATCACAAAACAAAAACTCTGAAATTTGAGTAACCAAACTGTATGGGACGGCACAGAAATTTTATAACCAGAAGTCCCATTAAATAAAGCCACCAGAGGATCTTACAGTTGCCTATCTATGACACCTAAAGCAATAATTGCCTTGAAAGAGTAAACTTTTAGTAGATAAAAAGCAGCAGCACTGATTCCCATCTTTAGAAGATAATATTAGGTCTACATAATAATGATAAATGAAATGTTGATTACCCACTTTCTCTAAAAGTAATATAGTTCCCCATGATATCCAGAGTCAAAATTTTAAAGCAAATATGGCAGGCCACTTGGGTTACTGTTTTCTCAAGAGAGATTCTCTTGTACCTAGAAAATCCTGATAAGTCCTAAGAAGATAAATAAGTCAAGGACAGGGCCCAAGAATAAAAAGAAAAGAATTAAGATTGCTACCCGTCACACACATGCACACACACACATACACACAAAACGATGAAAATGAAATAATTCATTGTTTAAAGGACAAGAGGTGGCATTTGAAGATACAGAGTCAAGGTGTCCCTAACAGACAAGAAACATACACTAATAAATAAAGTAGGAGAGAGTAATGTGAAAAGCCACAACTTCACACCATTCTACACATCATACACCTCCCCTCCAAAGCAGAATAGAAGACAGCCAGGCTCTTGTCCTATGTCTGCCTCTGGGGAGTCCTCACAGCCACATCTCCATTTGAGTGACTTCTCTGTGCCTGTTTATACACTGCAAAAATGGCATGAAAATACTTAACACAGAGGTTATGAAAATAAAATAACAAAAGGGAAAAAATGTTGCCAAAAAAATAAATAAATCTATATGGAAATCTGAGATATTATTACAAAGGCAGATTCTTTATATCACTACATTTTTTTGATAAAATAGAAAACCTTAAAATCCTAAACATAGACTCTCCAGTCCACATACAATATCAGTTTAATTTAATTTGTCCCACAAAGCAGACACGATAATAAATGCATATACATATGATATTGTATTATATTAAATATATTATATATAATGTTTTTTAATCAAACAATCTGTATTGTCATCCTAGCTTTGTGACTTGCCAATTGTATGGCTATAATCAAGTCATTTAATCCCCCTGGATCTTAATTTTTTCCATCTGTACAATTGAGGGTTTGAAGTAGATATTCTCCTAGGTTCTTTCTAGATCAAAGAATAATAATAATAAGTCTATAACTTTAAGAAGTTATACCCCCATTTTCATATATAGCTGTGAAAACTAAAAGAAGCTTTTGTTATAGTATTCTAAAACTCATGAGATGAGGGTGGTACTCCCTGAAATACTTTCTCTTTGTTTAGGGCTTGTCTCTCCCTCTGTGTGTGTAGGTGATGGGTGGGGAGATAGAGCCCATGATACATATATTTCTCTAGTTCCCTTTTGTGGCTGCCTCCTCCTAGTGTCTCTTTCTCTTTCCTCTCCTCTCTGATGTTCCATCTCTTTTCCTCTATTTCTCTTCCTTATATGGCTACGTAATAGATTTGAAATAAACCACACATATTATTTGTTGACTAAGTGAACAGTGCACTATAGCCAATGCCATATGAATAACATATTTTATCAAAAGGAAAAAAAAGCTGCTGTTTATTTACTGACCCTCAATTGATTTTTTTTTCCCACAGTCAAAAATAAAAATAAATGAAAAGGTTTATCCTCTAGTCTTCTACAACTGTAGTAAATATAGGAGGGGATTTTGTGGTATATCTTCAGTAAACTTGACGTTGCATGCTCTTTAAAAATAAATAAATAAATAATGAAACTGTGTGTAGAAAAATTAAATTTGCCAAATGCAAGACAGAATCAGGTTTTATGGCCCTCAGAGGTGTCCCAGAGCTGTCTGAACACGTCCTGGTAGCTGGCCTCCTAGAATGTTAATTTTGTCTCTGACACTGACATCCACTGCAGCTTGGGACAAGCTTTTACATTCACTGTGATTCAGCTTTTTTACCTGAAACACCATAAACTAGACTATAAAATACTGTAAGAATTATGGAGGCTAAAAGTGTACAAAGTGCTAAAACATTTAAAAGCAAAAATTATTCACAGAAACAAATACCCCACATCCTTACCTCTGGAATAAGTTGGAAAATTGCATTTGAAAAAAGAGTCCCAATAGCCAGCCCCACAAAATAGGTCAAAATCTTTGGGAAATAAGATTTGTTTATCAACGGAGTCAAAATCAGTCCAAGTAGAGATGCCAGATTAATGATTGTCACTGACAGGAATCCATATCCCCAAACTGTGAGTCAGAGGGAAAAGAGAACAGAAATTAATCAGAGCAAAGGAGCCAAAGGAAGTCTTCCTGTACATTAAGCTTGAAACAAATGTATTCTTTAAACACTTGAAATACATGCCTTCTTCAAAACAACAAAATCTTCTCAATGAAAATTATATAGAAAACTGAGAACTTAAATACAACACAGTAAACATTGATCGTAATAGAAGCACTGCCTATGTTTTAATCATTCCAAAATCATCATTGCAGGATCAAAGAGTTTTTTTTTTACCTTACCAGGATTTTGGAACATCTGGAATAGTGACAAATAATCTGAGGTCCACAGACTCCAAGCCCACCTAGTTTCACCTGTGGCTCAAGGCCTAGTAGAAACTCAGCCTTTCGGAGGAATACAAAGGCATTATGAGTTTCAGGGAAAAGGTGTGGAATGGTGGGTGGAGGGCAGGAGTAGACATGGGTCAGGATGGATTAGCTTCAAGGTGACAATAGCTGCCGACACACTGAGCTTTCATAATCATTTGTCTGCAGACTCCTGAGGACAGCACCTCCGTAGAGAAGGCAGCAGCATCTCAGCCCCCGCTGGGGCCTCAGGGGTCTGGAGCCAGATGAGCACTGAAAAAGCCAGCACGTGGGGCAGCAGGGAGCAGCTGCAGCGCACAACTCGCCCTGCCGGGCCCAGATTCAGGCAGCATGTCCCAATAGAGGAGATGCTGGTGACAGAAGGAGGTGGTACATTTTCATCTCCCATGCCCAGCACCTGATGCCCAATAGGTACTCATTAAATGTTGCTTAGAGTGTAATGAACGAGTGCTCCTCTACAGCTAACAGTGTGTGTGACCTATTACTTTGGATCTCAGTTTCCCCATCTTGATCCTGGAGGGGTTGGTTTAAGAAAAAAACAGGAATGTAAGTGGGGCTGGCCGGTTAGCTCAATTGGGAGAGCATGGTGCTGATAGCACCAATGTCAAGAGTTCAGATCCTCTTACCAGCCAGCCACCAAAAAGAAGCAAAAAATAATAAGAATGCAAGTGAAACATACCCAAGACAGTCACCTACAACAGTGCAGGCTGAGATACAGTACAGCCCCTGGAACTGTGTAGCATGTGACTTGCCTGTGGCCCCACACACCATGCACAAGGTACAGTGGAAAAGATAAGGAAGCGACCTCTACACTGCCACTTCTTTAAAACAGCCAGAAAACATTTTTAGGTGTTGGGCCACTTTTCTTACTGGCACTAACAGCAGAGCACGCTAGTAACACCTAAGGCTCAGTCAGCCTTTGCCTCAGGCCAGGCACCGTGCTCAGTGATCAACATGTATGAACTCATTTGATCCTCACAAAACTGTGAGATAAGTACTATTACCTCCCTCATATAGTTGAGGAAACCAAGGCACAGGGAGTGCAAATAAGCTGCCAAGTCACATGGACAGAAAGCTGGATTTGGAGCTCAGACAGTCCAGCTCCCGGGCCACATTTTTTACCACTATGCTTCATTACTTCTGTAGAGGTAATCTAGTTTGTAAAAAGCCCAAGGGACTCAACAAAACTAAAAATTCCACCCTGAATTATAACTCATGAATACAAAATTGCTCACTATTATTCTAGTCCAAGCAATTCTGTCTACAAATAAATAAACATAGCAAATGTTCACTGAACTTGGGATTTGGATCAAATCAAGGTTCTTGCCAACAGAGAGCTTGTAATCTTCTACTCGGGGAGCTGGAATGTGTGTGTGTGCACATGAACACACACACACACACACACACACACACAGAGAAACACACAGTGATACAATGTAGCCTGTGCTAAGTACCAAATGGAAAGGACAGATAATAAATGGTACTATTCAACCTCAAGACACATGACAGCACTGACCGTGATGACTTTATCTTCTCCAGACATTTTCCTATCAATTCCAGATCCTGGCCATGCCCTACAAAGTCATCCAACAGTCACCACATTCCTATCTATTACCTTATAACCTAAAACAATATTACCTACTCCCCTTGGACTTTCCACTGAGAGAAAGTTCTCAATCCCACACGTTCTGTGGTATGTCTACATGTATTTTCTGTTAACACAGCCTTCTATCCCATCACTAGCCGACATGTATTCATTCAATCAACAAATATTTATCATCTCATTGGGTAGACAAGATATACCAATGTTGAAAACTAAAATAAAAAAGCAAAAGAAATTTTAGTACCAAATAGAGGCAAAGCAACATACACATATTAAACTCACCAGCTTCCCTGAGAACTCTTGCTCCAATATCCTTGTTCACTACCTCCATAAAGAGCAGAAACTTAGGGCCCATTCAGTTTCTCACTCTCCACCAGTCAATTCCACAGACAGTGGGGGACCAAACCCTATCAATTCTGCTTCAGATGTCTCTCACCTCCAGTTTCCCTATGTTCACTGCCGGCGCCTTGAGTTCAGGCCCTCATCATCTCTCACCCCCTCATCTGATGTATTTTGACAGCTTTCTATCTGGTATCCCTGCCCCCTAGTTGACACGGCCTCCAGACTTAAACTAAATCACAAAAGCAATCATCTCATTCCCCTTCATGCCCTTTATTGACACCCACACAACCTCTCCAGTGTTATTTACCCCTTTCTCAACACAGCCTTTACCCAAACACAAAGTTTTCCCAACACAGTATTACCTTTACACTTGTGGTTCTGTCTGGAAACACCTTTCTATCCTGCCTGAGAAAATCATCTGTGGCTCTCCAACCAACTCAAAGACCTCCTCTATGAAGCTTCCCTGGTTCCCGTAAGAAGCAGCCCCTTGTGTATCAAGATTCCCATAGCTCTTTGAAGCTAACTGCTCCAACTAACGTTTCATGTGTGTTATAATAATTTTATCATTTATATATTTATCTACATCATTTGAACTGTGAGATTTTAAGGAGATGGACTATGTTTTATTCATCCTCAGTGCCAGCAAATAACACAAATTTCTTGTTAACTGAATTAATGAATGCTCTATTTCAAGGTGCAGCCCAGAATTCTGTCAAAAAAAAAAAAATGCCCATTTGGTTTGTTAGCTCACTTGGGAAAGCATGGCACTTATAACATCAAGGTCAAGGGTTTGGATCCCCATCCCAGCCAGCCACAGAAAAAAAGAGAGAGAGAGAGAGAGAGAGAGAGAGAGAAGAAAAAAATGCCGACTCATCTGCCTGTGCATTCTTTCCAACCTTCCTTGCCCTTATACACATTAGCACCACACGTGGGGAACTGTGGGAGTGCAAATCTTCACACTGTATGCATACTGTATTGTTTCCCCTTCTTGTATTGTTAGAACATTATTCAGGGGGGAAACATCCATTTTTCCACTCAACTGGAGCACCAAAGAATGATTTGGTATGAAAATATTCCTTGGACCTCTCTATATCCACATAAGACTTCCTCTAATGATCTGTTTCAGAGAGGGTACTTTCTGCCTCTATGTGAACTCTGAAAGATTTTAATAGATTTCTAAGGAATATTAGTGACAATAATCACCATTTATGGAATATCCACTGTGAGTTAAGATTCTTTTAAGAATTTCACCTGTTTTGACTCATTTAATTCACACAACAACCCTGTGAGATAGGTACTATTAATATCCCCATTTTACAGATGAGAAAACATGGTTCTAATATGATTCCCATTTTACAAATCTTCGAAAGCCTAAACTTCCATTTCTACCTGGCCCTCCTCCAACAAGAAGCTGTACAGAATGGCGGTTAACAGTGTGAGTTGTGGAGTTGGAGAATTTGTATTCAAATCCCAGGTCTTCCCTTTGTTGGCATCTTACATTGCTTCCATTGCTAAACTTTAGTTTTCTCATATTTAAAATATAGATAAAAAATAGCTCCTATTTCATAGAGTTTTTACAAGAATAAAATAAAACCAATTAATGTTGTCCCTGGAATATATAGCAAGTTTTAAATAAATGCTGTTTATTATTACTACAAAAATATTAGTAAGCAGACCGTCATATAAATTTTGGTTCATTTAGTTCATTGTTATGTTCTGTTCCCTCGACCAAGAACCAAGACCTCATTCCCATGTTCTGTTCCCTCGACCAAGAACACTTTCCCACAGAGAAGACCTTGCCATGCCCTCTCCTTCTCGTCAGGACCCTGCTCAGCTGGAATCTCATTAAAGAGAGCTCCCTTGACCTATCCAAAATCACACTCACCTGCTGTCACCTTCTGTCCCTTGAAAAGAGCAACAAATTAGGACTCAGGAGCCCTGGGCTGTCATCCCACCTCAGGTGTTGTACCTACAGGGAGCCACTTACCCTCTCTGGAGCTTAAACGTATGTCACCGGTTTTATTATGGAGATGAACAATATAATCTTCAAGGATGCCTCAAGTAAAGTTCTATTACTCTTATCTATAATTCTATAATTCTGTTAATTGAATTAAACAGTGTTCTGTGACATCATCAAAAAAAGAGGCAATTTTCGACCATTAAATTATTGCTAAAATGTAATTAATTTCTCTCCTGCAGAATTTAATTTACCTTCCGTTTACTGCCCTCACCAATATGATTTTATAAGGCACCTGAAAGGCAACTTTAAATATCACAAAATGTAAGTTCTCTGAGAAATGAAACTACTTCGTTGCCCTTTAAAATGTCAATGTAAGCATGTTCATAAAATTCTTGCCTCATGAACCCTTTAGACTGCTTTTACTTTGGTTTTTCATTCCTTTGGACAAGCTCAGATTTGACTCTGTATTAAATGAACTGTTACATTAAGAATCCAGTGCATTTAATTATTTTTAAATATCATTTCTTTGTAGGAAAAGAAGAGTATTATACAGGAGAAGAGAATGGGGTGAACTTATGAACACAAGTTTAAGAAGATCAAAGACATATTCTTACCCTGCGCCCGGCTCTGTTCTAGGCACTTACATATAAAACTCATCAGTTACTCCCAACAACTCTATGAGGAAGGTACTATTAGTATATATCCATTTTACAGATGAGGTCACTGAGGCATAGAGACATTAAGTAAGTCACTCAAGATCATACAGCTGCACTAAAATAAATAATTATGTTATCACATCTAAAAAGGCAATATATTGCCAAATTAAACATCTTAGATTAGTAGTAAGAAGTACTCTGCTAGTTTCCCTAACTCCCCAGAAAATTTTCCATATCTTCTCCCACCCTACTCCAGCCCCATTTCAATTCCTAAGATAATAGGCACCCTAAGAGGCATTTCCCTCCTTATTGGATCCTCTGTCCAAATATTTGGTGCCTTTCTGATCTTGTAACTTCATATATTTAAACAGGCTTGTAGAAATATAAACAAACTCTACCAAAAATATTTGCCCGAATAAACAGCAATTGTTCAAAATTGCTATTATTTCAAAATCAAAATTATTGTTATTCACAAAGTTGCTAATTATATTGATACAATATTCTTGGTGATTTCTATTCTTTGTATATATAAATATAGACTATAAATGAGAACATGGGTTCTGAAGTCAAGATAACCTGGGTTCAATCTGGCTGTACCACAAGCAAGTTGTGTAATTTTGAGCAAATGACTTTGAACTCTCTATATCTCAGTTTTCTTGGTTGCAAAAAAGGAATAGTAGTGCCTACATCATATAGTTATAATATATGCAAAGTCCTTGGAACAGAGCCTGTTACATAGTAAGTACTACAAAAGAAGTGGCTATTATTATTATTATTATTGTCATTGTTATTGTTGTTATTCATATATAGAGGAGTCAAAGAATACGTACACAAAGGAATCCAAAAGTAAGATAAGCACTTCCTTTGTTGATTCTTCCCTTTTCTTCTCTCTCTTTACTCTCTTTGTATCCTTTATCTATACTCATGTCAGATGAGCTCCCTCAGACCAGCATCTTTAAATGTCATCTCTAAGATGACAAATCTTCAGCCTCGACCTCTCCTCTGAGCTCCAAATGGGCATGTGCCACCACCTACTGGACATCAACATCTCCACTTGGGGGTCTATGTCAGTGTCTCAAAGTGACTGTCAAAAATTATATTCTTGATCCTCACCGCTCCCTTCCTCCAAAATAAATGGTTCCTCCCCAGTCTTTTCCAATCCCGGGAAGTGGCACAGCTATCTCTCCAGTTTCTCTAACTCAAATCTTGACTCGTTTTCCCCCCTCCCCCATCCAATCCAGAGGCAAGCCATTTAGCACAATCTGCAAAACCCATCCTGAATTTGACCACTTCTACCCACTTCTACTTCTCCCGCCTCAGTCCAAGTCCCCATCATCTTGAGCACCAGCCCCTGGCAATAGCCTCCTGACCAATGTCCTTGCTTCCACTCTTGCCCCGTTACAAATCTATTCTTCAAACTGTAGGTAGAACACTTTTACAGATTCAAACAAATTCATGGCACTCCCCTGTTTAGAACCCTATGGTGGCTTCATTTTACACTCAGAATAAAATCTAATCAAGGTACCACCTCCTACAAGGCCTTCCCTGTCTGGCCTCGGTCTACCCCAGGGTTATCATCTCCTTTTCCTCTTCCTCCTGCTCACTAGTCTCCAGACACATAGGCCTCCTTGCTGCTCCTAGCTCATGCCAACCTCATTCCCATGTTCTGTTCCCTTGACCAAGAACACTTTCCCACAGAGAAGACCTTGCCATGCCCTCTCCTTCTCGTCAGGCCCCTGCTCAGCTGGAATCTCATTAAAGAGAGCTCCCTTGACCTATCTAAAATCACACTCACCTGCCATCACCTTCTGTCCCTTACCTACTTTATTTTCTTCTTAGCACGTATCACTCTGAAACTATGTTATTTGCTTGCTCCTTTGTTTAAATGTTTATAATCTCTCTTCTCCACCACATTATAAACTCTAAGAGAACATGCAATTTTTTTTCTTGTTCACTACTGACTAAAAAGTGCTTGCATGACTTTCAATAAATATTTATTGAGTGAAAAAATGAATGAAAAAATTAAAATTAAAATACTCATGGGGGAAAGTTAAAAATTTGGGGATACTGAGAAATTGCGTATAGCTGACAGAACCTGGGAACAACTGGTTTATCTCACTGGTGAAAGTACTCTCCCACATGGTTAAGTGTGTGAACTATATATTAAGCACATATTTGTTTTCTTTTATTTCAAAATTTCTTTACAGCAGATTATTCCTTAAAAATTCAGTATTTATGGCAATACCATTATAGACACTTAAAATAGTTGCTGGCATTTCCTTTCATCTATGAACATTTAAACAGTAATAATTGAGTCCCTTAAAATTTCTAGAAGCATACTAGTTCTGTTGTACTTTCACCGACAATTGCAGATAAACTGACAAGTTGTAAAATAATATGATAAGCAAAAGGTAATGGAATTAATTAACTGGTCAATTTTAAGCCAAATAGTTGATGTGCAATCCAATATGCACAGCATAAAATGTTGTTTAAAATCAAGAATTGAGTTTTATAAAGTTTTTCAGTGGTACTAAGTATAATTGAATCTACAAAACAGAAGAGCACAACTATGAAGCTTAGATGAGCTCTAATTATTCTTATTATAAATACTTTCAGAATATAAGTATTTTACCAAGAAGTTCTATGTAGATTAATTAAAAGCAATAAAGCACAAAAAGAGGTATGTTAACTTCATTTCACACTGGCTCACAGACTTTTCAAATAAATGAGAGAAAATGCTTCCAATATACCTTCTGAAGGACTTGGTTTTGTTTTGGGTTTGGGCTGATCCTCACAAGGGTGAAAGTTCAATTGCTGTAAGATTGCTGGACAGATCACAGAGAAGTTTGAGCTGGTTATTTGGGTAGCATTTGAAAAGCCATGAAGGGAAAAGATCTCTTCAGCAGATAAGCACTGAAATAAAATAAACATATATATACGTTAACATAGTAAGTGCACACAAGCAAAGATACTGTAATAAGACAGAATATTTCATCTAGACATAGAGCACTAACTTTTTATATAGAAGCTCACTACAGAAATGTATGGACCCCTAAAATTGTTGCACAGTCCAAGCAGCTTTAAACCTAGAAACAAGAAAAATAGCAAAAAACCTTCTTAATCAACAATATACCTACAGTAGACACAAAAGATAAAAACTGGTTTGGCAGTGGGAGTGTCCAAGAACTTTAAAAAAAAAATAGAAAGCACACCAATAGCACTCAAACAAAGGGCTTTAAGACTATTTTCTATTCTCACTCTTCCATCTCCATTTATGCTTTTTGAGTTTGATTGGGTATTTTGTGGCAGCTATTGAAACAGCTCTCTACAGCATTTCTTATAGACAAACACCTGGTTCCTTACAGTTTCATAGTTAAGAAATTCATCCATCCTCTAGACAGAAATAATAATTTCAATATGTAAAGTTGTTTTAAAGTATGTCTTTAGCACAAACTGTTGTTTGCTAAAATATGTATTATTCTCAGTGAGGGTGGGTAGTTTCTCTATATTACATAAAGATTTGAAAACAGTGCTGGGCTGTTTAGAAATTCATTAACTATTAATGAAGAAAAGAATCTGCATTAGAAAAAAAACCTCTGTGAAAATAACTTTTTAAAGGTATTATTTTACTCTTAGGTACATTTTAACTGTAAACTATCTTCCACATACTTGCATTATTAAGAAGAATATAAAATAAATGCGAATAAATGCCATAAGAATTATAAATTGTGAAAAATATTCATTCATTCAAATAGAAGATTCTTTAGTAAGTGCAACTGAGAAAGTTCGGTGCATACTTCAGCCAATACTTAAACCCCACTTAGACCTGAGCTATATGCTATGGACTGAATTATGTCCCCAAAATTCTTATATTGAAGCCCTAATCCCCAATGGGATGGTATTTAGAGATGGGGCCTTTGGGAGGTATTTAGGGTTAGATGAGCTCAAAAGTGGGGCCCCTGTCCAGTGAAATTTGTGCCTTTGTAACAGGAGACACCAGAGAGCTTGCTCACTTGCTCTCTCTCCACCCTATGAGAACACAGCAAGAAGGCTCTGTCTGCAACCCAAAGACACAGTCTTCACAAGACAGCAACTCTTCCAGCACCTTGATCTTGGACTTCCAGTCTCCAGAATTGTAGGAAAACAAACTTCTGTGGCTGAAACCACCCAGGCTGTGGTATTTTATTATGGCAGCCTGAGCTGACTAACACTATGAATAGTATTGAGAACTCAAAAGTTGATGTTAATTGTTTGACCATAAGGTGCTGTAATTCCCTTCACAACAGAAACAATGATATTAAAAATAACCAGATTTTGGTACAAGGAGATCACAACTGTCTGTAAAGGAAAAGTGAAAAACATCAAATACACCAAGATGTATGCAGTTGTCATAAGCTAAGATTGCAATTACCTTAAAGAAAAGGCACATTTAGATTTTTTTTAAGGTTTAAGTATGCATCTAAAGTTGTTCTTTGTTCAGCACACTCTTTCTTTCAGGTTTATAATAATGAAGCCATATGCCATCCCTAGAAGGAGACAGCACACGCAATGCTCTGTGAACAGTCTTCCCTTTGGCTGAGAACGGGGGACAATAAACTAATGGAGGGAAAAAAAATAGCTCAAGAGCCAGTTGGGGAAGGGAAAGTGAGTATAATTTATTCATCACCATGAAGATACCCAGGAGCATAATAGCTAAACTCAGAAATTACAGAGCCCATGTGGCCACTGCATGATTCCAGGAATAAATAGGTGTGACCGCACAGACACAAAGCAGCACTGTTTCCCTGCAATGAAGTCTTAACCTACTTGGACTTCAAGTTCCTCTTACTGTAAAACAGATAATTGATAATCTCCAAAGACTTCTCAGAATTAACATTCTAAGACTTCCTAAAACTTGATGACTTTTTTTTTTTTTTGGCTGGCGATTCTAGGGATCTGAACCCTTGACTTAGCTGTTATTGGCACCATGCTCTTCCAAGGGAGCTGACTGGCTAGCCCTTTGATGACTTTTTAAGCATTTTTTGGTCTCAAATTGTGACCCATTACTGGATCAGTAAGTCCACTTGCTAAGGCAGAGTCACCATTTTTTAATGAAGTAAAATACAAAATAACAGAAACCATAGAGTATATCGCACACAACAGGATAAGTTTTGCTTAGTCAAACTTTAGCATTAGTTACACATTATAATATCATGCACACATACACTGGATCACAGTGTAAAATTGACTTCTTACTGTGAATGGCAGTCAAGAGTTTGAATGTCACTGCCTTTAAGGATGCCTGAATTGCCCACAGTGCCTCATTAGAGACACTCTCCTACATACGCTAAGAAAAAAGAAACAGGAGGGCTGGCCAGTTAGCTCCCTTAGTGAGAGCATGGTGTTATAGCACCAGTGTCAAAGGCACGGATCCCCTTACTGGTAAGCTGCCAAAAGAAAAAGAGCAGTCAAATGAAAGTATAATTAATAGAATCTTGATGATCTGTGCAGCATTTGTAGAAATTTTAGCCGGACAGGTAGTCATGGATAATAGTACGGTGACAGTGGCAATTCCCCAATCACCAGGAAGAACACGGAGGTATAGGGATGACAAAATTCAAGTTCTTGCCTTGTGACAAGGGAATGAGAACTGAATACTAATAGTGTGGCAAAACTGAATTAACAACAGGTCTGATTTATTTAAAAAGCTATTTGCCAGAAAGCAAAATGCAAATAATTTTGGACAGCAGTCTATTTTGACTTCAAACAGTCTTGATTTTTATTTTACTTTGATTTAACAAAGTTGAGCCCGGAACAAAAGAAAGCAGTTGTTTCAGAAAGGGCGGCACCTCCCAGAGCAGGGCAAACAGGATGGAGGCCAGTGTCTGGATGCAGAGAGCAACGAAACCGACCGAACCACTCACAAGTTTTAAATGTTTATCATTTAACCAACCATTTACAGGTGCAATCACCCTCTCAAGCACAACCCTTCACCCCCGAAGCAGTGAATAAGTAAGTTATAGAAATAGTAGGATTGCCAAAAACTCTTCAGAAAAAAACTTGGGGTGACGACACCAAACAGTATGTTTCTTAGTAAAACTCCATGCACTTAGCCCATCTCCTTCACACATTTATGTACTGACAGCGTCTCTTCTTTTCATTCATTTGTTTTTACAATGCTGCTATTCTCAAGCATGCCGTCCTAATGTCTGCTGTGGCCTTTTAAGCTTTGTGTTAACAGAGGGAACCTCTAGTCAGCACATTCCCTATGCTCAGTGGATGGACACTTTCCTAAAGACATTTTCCATGTTTTGGGTTAAACTCCTATGCGCTAGTCTCTTGCCACACTAAGGTGATCTCAAATGGGATTTATATACATGAAACACCAAAGTAAGGAGGTAGTAATATAGTTAAGGAGGGTTAAACGCATATTATAAATGAGACCCCAAATTTTACTCAAAATCATTTTAGCAAATAGTTCTGTGCATTTCTGATGCTTCCCCTACTCCCTCTTCCTCACCAGTTCTGATTAGTCAAACGTTTCTCCACTTCTTTCCCAAACATGTCTTTGTGAGAATGCTGGGCAGGGGAGGGGATGGAGAAGGTAGGTAATGTGGGCAAGTCCCTCGCTCAACATTTTAAACAAGTGAAGTCTGCTCACAATAAATTCCAAGAGGTGTGGCAAGACTTGAAATCGCACAGCTTAGATATTGAGAAAGACTCTCTCCTTGAGTAAACTTTAGGCAGGCTCTTCTCAGCCCAGACCTTGACCTTGGCATCCACCCTTGAGTGGTTTGCATCACCCAGTTTCAGCAAGAAACCTGTCAAGTCAGTTTAGAGAGAATCCCCCCCACCCTTGATACCTGATGACCCCTCAGTATCTGGTCAAATTTCTCATCCCCCACCCTCAGTATCTCATCACCCTGACCTGTCTTCAGCAAGAATCCTGTTAGGTCTGTTTAACCAAAATCCCCCACCCCCACCCTTGATGTTTCCTCTTAGTAATTTTCCATCTACTGACCCCCACGCTGCTCTTTGGCTATAAATTCCCATTTGTCCATGCTGTATTCAGAGTTTAGCCCAGTTCCATACTGACGTCTCTTTTTCCCTTGTGATGGTTAATTTTGTATCAACTTGACCAGTCACTGCCCCAAAAACATTATTTCTGGGTGTATCTGTAAGGATAATTCCATATGAGATTAGCATTTGAATCAGTTTACTCAGTAAAGCATATTACCCTCCCCAATGTGAGTGGGCATCTTCCAATCCATGGATGGTCTGAACAGAACAAAAGGCAGAGGAAGGAGGAATTTGCCCTTTTTTTCCTGCCTCACTGCTTGAGTTGGAACATCTTATCTCATCTTCTCAGAACCTGGAATTTACTCCATATTGACTCCTCTGGTTCTCAGACCTTTGGACTTAGATGAAATTACACCATGGGCTTTCCTGGATCTCCAGTTTACAGATGACAGACTGTGGGACTTCTCAGCCTCCACAATCACATGAGCCAATTCCTCATAATTTCTCCCTCCCCCCTCATACACACACACACATACACACACACACACACACACACATACACACATATAGTTTGTTTGTTCTGGATTTGGGGGTTTTTTTGGCAGTTGGTGTACAGGGATCCGAACCCTTGACCTTGGTATTATAACATCACATCCTAACCAACTGAGCTAACTGGCCAGCCACTAGTGTGCATACATATATACACTAGTGGGGTATATATATATATACTCCCTACTACTTCTATTTTTCTGGAGAACCCTGACTATTGCCACCCTTATTGCAATAGTTCCTGAATACAATCTGTTTTTACTATTTTAACTGCTGTCAGGCTCTGTTTTTCTTTAACAATACCAAGTATAATAGCCGTGTAAATATACTACACATTGCATTAATTCTTTCCATCATTTCTCAAA